AGGGTAGCTTGTAATAACAGAGGGAAGCATATGTAGCGCGTGTGTGCTTGTTCGATGTTTGGACCAGCACTCGATGTTTGATTCAACGAACATGATGGTCCAGTAGATACCATTAAAAAATCAAAATCGTTAATCATGATCATTCGCGCAATAATCATGAATATAAAAACTCGAAAAAAAAATATTTTGTTACGAGTTTTTTGCTAATGTACTTTTACTATTTCGCAAATTATTCACACCCTAAAACTACATTGTTTACTTTTTTTAGTAGATTTACCTCCAAATATACAGGGTGTTTTATTAAAGAATGGAAAACTATAAGGGTACAGCTTTCTCCTGCGGCTTATGCTGTAAATATACTATTTTCCTTCTATTACCACTCACAAAGTTGGATATTTTTCACAATACTACAAAAAAATGTACCTATGAGTGTGGTAAAGTGACATAAGCGTGCATAAAGTAACTAATTTACGTATGCTGTTGCGTTTTCATGTTTAATTTAGGTTTATTTATTCATTTATTATCTTTTGACATCAATATCTACTTTACCATTGACAATACTTTCTTCCCAAACCAAACGGCTTTGATGGTAATAAAAACACAGGTATGAGTTGTTTGTGCGCAAGCAATAAAATTAATAAAAATATATTTAAAAACAAACAAATAAACATGATTGTTCTTAAAAATACAAATAAAATAATCAATCTGACAATAGAACTCCGCTGTTTTTGTTATTACCCAGGCAGCACACTTTGGTATAAATTACGTATTTTTTTAGGTACTACCATACGTATGAATACGGTTGATGTACTACCAAATATATTCGTGAAAATGTCCGCCTTATAAACGTCGATTACTAAGAATTTATCCACCTATAATTAAACGTTTTTACTATACGTCTATATTAGATTTATAGTTGTAGTATATTTATACGAATTCACTTTGGTATAAAATACGTTTTTTTTATGTACTACAATATACGTATGGATACTGTTGATATGCTACCCAATATATACGTGAAAATGTCCGCCCTATAAACGTATATTTTTTTTATTTTTTATACGTCTAACATTACTACTTTATCTACCTTTAATTATCCTGTTTTATTATACGTCTATATTAGATATATTTGTATGATTTTTATTAATGTGTAAAATGCGTCTACCTGATATTGTTTTAAATGTATTTTAAACACAAATTAAATAAAGTGATCAAAACAAAATTTCTAAAAGAGGCCATGGAAAAATGTTAATATTTCCTAAATGATAGTTTGGATTTAATCCATAGCAGGTGTGTATACACCAGAAATAGGCATTACTCGTGTTTCTATTTTGGTTGTAATTGGCCTAAATATTTAGAAAAATTTTTTGATCACTTGTTATATGTACAGAACAATATTTAATTAAAAAAAAAATGAACAATAAAATACTAAAAAATAAATAAATACAAAAAAATAAGCACTAAAATAGTGAATAACAAACTAAACGAAACTTTTCTTTAACTAACAAAAAATATTTCTGAAAATAAAAATCTTAGCTTAACACTTTGGATGTGTTGTATCCTAGACGGGCCTTAGCTAACTTAAGCTAATCTTGCATGGCACACCTAATCGTTCGGTCGGTTAAGTCACTTGGTACACCCCCATACCTATAATCAAAATGTAACTTAATTTCAGGTGAAATATTTTCTAAAAGCTCCGAAGTTAAATTTGAATTATTTTCTTGGAATTTATTATAAATAATAGAATCAGATGATATAATAATGTCCGAAGCCTTATTAATGTTATCTTCATTGGGAATAAAAAAAAAATTGATTTGACTTTAAAGCATCTTGAACATTTTGCGCTATTTTTCTACGTAGATGACGCAGAGACAGGGTTATTTTAGACATTTTATTAAATAAAAACAACTGACTAAAAAAAGGAAAGTATGCTTGGAATAACTAGGTAACCTAAAAAATACGTATAAAAATAAAAGAAACAAAAGTAAGGTTATGTTTTGAAGTTTCTATACGCATTTAACACACTGTACGTACACCTATAAAACAGTAGTTGTTGTAAAATGCAACAATTATTAAAGGAGTAGCTAAATTAAAACATTAATAGAAACTTACCTATGCTTTTAATCAATATCGCAAAAGCCAGGACCTGCTCCCACAAACCATTCCCTACACTGAACAATAATACTACACATACGCATGAGTAGAAATGAGAAAAGACCGTACCACTAGTCATCCTCCATCCGCCATCTAAAAATAGTTCCATGTGTATGGGGAATTTGTTATAAATATTACAGGTAATATAATTAAAAAAATATGGATGTAATGTAAATAAATATATCTATAAGCTTTTAATTTAAATAAACCTAAATATATACATATTATTAACTTCTGTCTACTAGTTCATCGTAAACTGGTATTATGCGTTTAAGGTGACTTATATTTAAACGAAGAATAATACAGGTATATTAACTAGTATCGACAAACAGAAGCGTTTAATTTATCTGTTAAAAAACGTTAAGTATAAAAATGGTAGATGGTAAACGTTTAAAAAATCAACCAAGACGAAATTTAAACGGAAATTATAAACGAAGAAAACATATTGTAATATAATGTAAGTTTATACGAATTTAATTTAAATAAACCTAAACGTATATTTAGGCCCAGTGTATATAAATAGTTCATCGCAAACTAAAAATATTCGTATATTGTTAACTGTATTTAAACGTAGAAAAATTTACAATTATATACCATAGGATGTATATAAAAAACATATAATATATCGTTTAAAACACGGTATGTATAATAATCGTAAACTGTAAACGTATACGGAATCAACCAATACCAAAATTAAACGAGTATTACGTATAAAATACGTTAGTTATACTAATGTGTGCTGCCTGGATGAATCAAATCTATAATTATTTGCAATAAAAATATTGGACTAATTTAGTAATTTTGAATTGTAAATAAAAGACACTAAATCCAAAATAGTAGATTAGTAGAAAAGTGACCAAAACAGTAGATCTAGCATTAAAACAAGAAATGGCAACCCTGGCACTGCTGCGATGTGTGAATATAGAAAGCGTACCAGAAACCAACTCGGAGAATAAGACGTGAGCAATAACGAAACACCAAAATAGAAGTGAAAATCACCATCACTAGTTTTCGCAGGTCTTCGTTTTGTGAGTCTGGAGCTGGTTTAAAATTATTATAATTATTCTTTTATTTTTTAAAATATTTTTTAATTATTGTTTAATTATTGTTTAATTATTGTTTAATTATTGTTTTATTATTGTTTAATTATTGTTTAATTATTGTTTAATTATTGTTTAATTTTTGATTAATTATTGGTCAATTATTGTCAATTATTGTTTAATCATTATTTAATTACTGTTTAAATATTGTTTAATTATTTTTTAGTTAATAGTTAATTATTGTTTATTTATTGTTCAATTATTATTTAATTATTGCTTAATTATTGTTTAATTATTGATTAATGATTGTTTAATTACGGTTTAATTATTATTTTAATATTGTTTAATTAATGGTACATTATTGTTTCATTTTTATTTAATTGCTGGTTAATTATTGTTACCGCACAAGATTCGTTTGTTTTAATAGAAAATATTTGTAACTAATGAAAAATGAATGTAATCGGTTATAATGAACAATGGTTGATTATAATTGAAAGTAAGCTGTTATAATTGAAATAAGTTTATTGTAATTCAATGTATTTGGTTTTAATTATACACCGTTGTCCCGTAAATATACCGGCAAAGTTTTAGGAGTGTTAGTCGACATCAACACAAACATTGTTTTGTTTAATTAAAATATGTCTACTTGCCAACGAGGCAAGTCTATTACCGGAAAAACATTATCGAACATTTGTTTATTAAGCAAAAAAAAGTTTATTTTGATGTCCTTTGCGACCCCTAAAAGTGTGTAGCTATATTTACGAGGTATCCTGTAGAGATATAATCTGATGTTTGTATATAAGCGATGCTGGTTGATAGCGGTCTCTGTTTGTTATGTGCATGTTCCTATTAAACTTTGTTCAACTCGTGGTAAAGTATACCTTCCATGTTGAAACCTATTTGAAAATAATCAAAGTAATCTAATTGAAAATAATCAAATGAAACTAGAAGTAATTGGAAGTAATTTAATGCAATTGAAAGTAATAAAAGTTACAAAACAGAATGTAATAGAGAGTACAAAATTATTCAATTGTATTTTTACACTTTGCACACCTAATTGACGAGTATAATACCCCGAGAGTACAGGTAATCACAATTATATTTTTTGAAAGTAATTAGTATTTTTAGTTTAATTGAAAAATAATTATTATAATTGAAAGTAATTAATGTAATTAATGAAAAATAATAGTAATAGGTTATAATTGAAAGTAATCGGTTATAAATTAAATTACTTTATTATGAAAGTAAGTAATCGAATTTAACTAAAAATAATCAAAGGTACATGAATATAATTGAGAGTATTTAAAAAACTATTTTGTATTTGAATATAATGATTTAAATTAGATATGTACAACTATAAAACAGAGCTTGATGCAACTTTAACACTCTGAATCTGTGTTTTATAATAAGAAATTAAGTATTTTATAAGATTTCCAGTAGATATTGTGAACTAATTTTAAGAAAATTTGTATAAAATTCTGTGACCTTTTCTATTTTTAATAAAATATTATTTAAAAATATTTAAACAGCATTAAAATCTATTAATACCTTTGTTGAACTATTTAAAAAAACTACCACTATCGTTTCATTCTATTATAAAGTTTTACAGACTCATTTCTTCAACAGTATTTATTCTATTGAATGGGGCTGTACGAGGCGGAGTCGTCAAACAATGAACAACATTCTAACAGGGTAAAAGAAGCCCTTACCATCAAAAGAGGGGGCATATATAAGCCAACCCTAAATAATCACTAGTAGGTAGTTTTATTTTTATGTTAGTGTCGATCAAGCGTTGACAGAATGAACATGTCCCGATCGTTTTTAGTTGATTCGTTGATTAGTAGTCAACCAAAAGAAATGCCACCCCAGTGTCGCGTAATCGATACACCCACGTTTCCGTATCACCAGAACTACATCAGCAGTTATTTGTTTTCGATAAGTTTAGCGCGACAACAACAGCAACAGCAGCAGCAGCAACAACAACAGTTTTTGTATCAACAGTTCCAGCACAGACCGCCTGTTAGACCAGTACCTTCGTTACCAAGATTACCGTTACTCGAACAAGACGTGTCAAGAGTGAGTCCTGAGCTTATATCACCTGTAGTTTCTCCAAAAAGATCCCTCAGTAGAGAGAACACTCCAACACCGCCTTTGGGCAACCAAAGTTTTAATACCAGTAAAGATTCTAGTAAACGAATAAGAACAGCATTCACCAGTTCGCAATTGCTGGAATTAGAAAGGGAATTCTCATCGAATATGTATCTATCCAGGCTGAGACGAATAGAAATCGCTACATCTTTACGTTTATCCGAGAAACAAGTCAAGATTTGGTTTCAAAATAGACGAGTGAAATACAAGAAAGAGGATTTGCCGGGATCGTCCGGGCATTCTGGTAATCATAACGGAAAATGTTGTTGTTTTAAAACCTGTTCCAGTTTAAAAGTTGAAAAAAGTACGGAATCGAGTTGTGAAGAAAATGATATCGACGTTATGAGTACTGATGAACATGGACATTAAAAATATTGTATTAATATTGTTGAGATTGGTGAGTGTGTTCAAAATTTTAATTCATTGTTAATAATAATGCAGGTTTTTCACTACTAGTATTAAATACTGATTATATCATTATTTACTGAATGAATTTTTTCTTTAGTTACTAATATCTCATTAACAGTTGTTAGTTACTAAATTACAAGTTCATAGTAATCTTTTGATTATGTGCCAAAATTATTTAAAACATTTGTAATGCAACCAATTATTATTATTATTATCTAAGATTAATATTCGTATTTATTTTAAAGATATTATTTTTCAAAAATAGAAATGAAGATATCGTAGGAAAGATATTCGTGGAAATCTAAAAATAATTTTGTAATTTTTTATAGTTTAATCATTGTAGATTGGAATAAAAGTAGGTACTAGTAGTGATAAATAAAAAAAAGTTTAACGACCATGGTGGATGAGCCTAGCAAAAATAATATTGCTACGCTGAGAAAAGTGTTTTATTTACTTTGGTGTCTTAACTAATAACGGGTGGCCAATATATAACTGACTGGTTTGCCTCTTTCATATTTTCAAAACTAAATAATAAAATAAAACGTTTTAACAATACGAACCTGTTGTAGGATCGTGTAGCGTTCCATAATGATTTTGACACATATGCTTTAAACAACTACTAAAGCGCCACCTACGGAAATGCGTGCATCAAAAATGGCGTGATATTTAAATCAGTCAGTTATATACTGGCCACCCAGTATAAATAGATATTTGTCAATGTCTTAAAGTTTTATTTTTGTAAGCTTTAAAAACTATTTTGATACTTATGTGTATGATTATCAATACATAAATATTGTATGTTGATACTATTTAAATGAATTTATACCGGTAATGTAATAATGTGAATGGGTACTACCAAATTTGATTAAATATATATTTTTATTTGTAAATAGTGTATATAAAATGTATTTATTGTATTTTTTAAATACCGAAGATGTAAATAAATAAATTTATATTTTTATACATATGTGTTTTTATTTTACTCAATGCAAATAGGCGAATTAAATTGCAAATAAAAATGGAGCAATAATTCATTTTGAAACCTGAGTTTCTTTCAACAGTTTTTATATGAAACTTGAGATAAAAGCTTTTATGTACTATTAGCTTTGTAATTTGCTTTCTTTTACATTTGTCAACGACAGGGAAGTATCACTTACGTCTCTTGGGAAAAAATACTTTTACGTCTTGCCAAAAAATAATAAATGGCGTGAAAACACGTGGGAAATCATTTTATCAAAAAAAAACTAACCACTACTTAAAAAATCTGATGTGTCCAACACATGACTTTCCTATCTAGTTATTATAGGCTTTTCATTACGGTCCATTTTAGAAAAATCATGTATAAACAAAAATTATAGAGATCGATATCGCAAACAACTTTTATTTCAAAAACTTTCATAAAAATCAGAATTTTGCACATTTTGTCAAATTTCTCGAATACGGACCATTTCAGGAAATTTTTACATAAAACAAAAACTATAGATAATAATATAAGAAGTAACTTTTATTTGAACAATTTTTTTCTCCAAACAAGGTATGTTAAGAACATTGTGTCAAACGGGTTATGTAGGTATAAGGGTTTAAACTTTGACTTATAAACAACGTTACGTTCATAAATAATAATTTTAATATAGAAACTACTTCTTACCTACAAATCCAAATCAGAATCGAAATCAGAAGATGAACTGTCGCAACCAATATTTACAATGAATGGCTCGATCATTTCATCAGTAATATTGTCCAACTTCCACATTTTCTCTTCTTCTTTAATCGTATGATTTACTGCCTTTTCCCAGTTTTCAGGCTTCACATTATTTACAGCCTCCAAAAACAACTGTTTAACATCACTCATTTTAAAAGAATTATTTTTTCTTGAAACTTCTCCCTTTATCTGTGCCCATATCAGTTCAATCGGGGTTTACTTCGCAATGATATGGTGGTGATCTAACACCGTCATCCCACGATTTTTTGCAATTTCGTCAATTTCATATTTTTTGAATTTCTCTTTATGAAGGGAACACAAATGATACAGTTCTTTTCTTACAGAACCGGGATGGAACTTAATATTCTTTGAATTTAGCCAATTCTGTAAACCTTTTTTTAACCACTTGGTTGTGGGCATTTTTTCTATAAGTCTCGAGTGATAACTTGCATTATCCATTACTATTTTATAGTTCTGAGGAAAAAGATCTATAATTTGTTCGAACCACTCTTTAAAGACATCAGCATTCATGTCCTCATGGTAGTAGTCACCGGTACGAGTAGATTCAAAAGTCAATAAACCACCTTTAACAAAACCGTTTGAACTACCGATGTGTACTATTATTAGTCTGCGCCCCTTTCCTGATGGTGGATTTAAACCAGTAGATAAATTATTTAAAAAAGCCTGTCTTTGACTTGTAACAGTTTTATCTTGCCAAAATTTATTTGGTTTATGTCCCTCGTTGATCCATGTTTCATCTAAATAAAATATATTTTTTCTTTGGTTTCTCATTTCTTTTATAGTCCTTAGGTAATTTCTTCTCCATACTACAATATCGCTTCTTTCTATTAAAATAGACTTTCTGGAATGCTTTTTCCATAGAAAACCTATTTCTTTTAAAAGTTTCCATAGTGTGCTTCGACTCATTTCAGGGTAATCCTTATCATCTCGAACCGTGGCAAGAACTTTGTCTACTGTCGGAAATTCTTTTCTAAAGAAGAACGCATGCACTTTCCTTCGAAGTCTTTCTTTCAAAAGATTTTCTAAGTGAAATTTTGGTTTTCCTGGAGCTTTACGTGCTGTTTGAAATTCGCCACATTTCTCTTCTTTAACAACTCTATAAATCGTAGATTTCCCAACACCAAGCGTACTACTAACTAATTCCACTGTGTCATCAACACTTTTACATAACTGTTTGTCTGTAAATTATTTAAAACAATTAAATATTAATGTTTTTTCATCAACTGTTAAAGGACCGATTTTTTGTCGTTTACGCGGCCCTTCCAAATTTTCCATGATCACACTAGAATTCACACTGCACCTTGCAAGTTGCAACTAAACGACATTTAGTAAACTGTCAAGAATACACAACTTGGACCTCCTTACTAAATGGAAAACCTATAATCGCATTTTCGGTGAAACTTGTTGGGAAGGTATTTATCTACTTTTAATTCGATTACTGTAAGAAATTCTTGGAATTAAAATAAAACAAAATTGGCAAATAGGTACTTATTGAAAATAATCTTAAGATACGGCTATGTAATCTTTAATACACAGAGCTTTTGGCCTGTCCAAACCTTTTTCTACTGTTCTGTACAGCATATGTTTATAAAGGACCAATAAAAGACCCAAAACTTGTAATAGCTCAGGTACATTTATTACAATTTTAGGAAATATTTAGATTATTCTGTAAAAATATTTAAAATGACCGTACTAAGTTTTGCATTAGAAATGCTGATTTATTACTCTCTCATACATAAAAATAGACTTTTTATCTTTTATAACTTGATTAAGCGTTCAAATGTTTTTGTTATGCTACTGCTATAGGACGGTATGATAAAGGTAGGTCAGAATTTTTCTGCGGTTTTAGTATGGGACAAATTATAATATTTTTAAAATTTTCTGTGTATTTTTGTTTCATCCACCAATTGTTAAAGGTTGTTAAGAGTGCGAGTTTAGCTATGGGTGGTAAATTGTATAGAATTTTATAGGTAACCCCATCTAGCCCGGGTGCTGTATTTCGTGTATTTTTCAAAATCAAATCCATTTCAGAGTAGCTAAAAGATTTCAACAAATAATCTGACTTAGAGTGAATTATAAATTGGGGACCAAAGAGGTTTCCAGGGACAGATGGAGGGGCTAAAATATTGAATAGTTTTTTTATTAATTCATTTGGATTTGGGTTTTTTGGATGTTTGAGAATTTTTATTATCTTAATAACCTAAAATAATTTTAAATAATTTTAAATAATAATTGCTATTTAAGTTTTTCAATTCATCTTTTTTTTTTAATTTGGTTTCATCGCTATCAATTACTTAGGGTATTAGACTCGTGTTCTGTACAGGCTTTGTTACTGTTTCCAAGCGCTGCTTTAGAAACAGCACTGTTAATTATAACCCAACAGTAATTGGTCAAGTGGGGAATTCTATTTATGTATTAGAATTAATATTTATTTTTTTAAATTAAATAAAAATCCCTTCCATCGGTTGGATTCCCTTCGATCTCAAAATCATGACTCTAACCAATGAGCTAACCCAGCTTCTCATTTTATTTATTATATTGTTTTTTAATTAAACAGATTTCCATAAATCTTTCTACAAAATCAAATAAACGAAGTAAAAAAAAACTCTTGCTTATGTAAAATTACCAAGAAACTTAGATGAAGGATAATTTTTTTGTTCTTAGGGAAGAAAAAATTGTTTCTCCCTGGGAGAGAAAGAACCATTTTCCTCTCTTACTTGGGAGTCGAAAATAACGTTTCACAATTAAAAAATAGCCCATTTTTATATCCTTAGCATCCAATGTCCCTTTTTTAATATATTCCATACTAATATGTAACACAACTGAATAAAATTACATTGTTTAGGGTAGGTAATTGAAAGAAATCGGATCAAATTTTCACATAAAACGGACACATAGGTACTTGAAAACAGTACAACCACAAAAGTGACACTTTATTCCCATTGTTAACAATTCAATGGTTTCAAAGCTTAATGTTTAACATTGACAACACAGTAGCCACTTTATGTGACAATTATAAAGGGTGTTATCTTTTGTTTGAATCCTATTTTTTAACCAGATTGAAAAGGGATTGTAGAGAGGAACCAATACAGTTTGGTTTCAAAGTGTCAATGGTTTCGAATTAATATTTTCACACCCTTCGTATACAAGGTGATTCGGAATAAAGTGTAAAAAAATTAACTGGAGATTAAGGTGGGTTCTATAATGCAATATTTATCGAGATACTTAAGTTTCATTA